CTTGAAATTAGTCTAAACTTTCTTCTAGGAAGAGTCCATGATTTTATTTTTAGGCCAACTTAAGTCCCTATGGCTTTATGACATTTGTCAACAGCAAAAGAGATACCTTAAAACCGTCACATAAGTCAATGAAAAGAAAACCAGAGCTGGGGAATAGCTTAGTGGTAGAGTACTTGCTTAATATGCCTAATGTCATGAAGAACAATGTCTTAGAACAATTTAAAAATGGTATTTCACTGAATTGAAAATTATTTACAGGAGAATTTAAAAGATAGAATTTTTTTCTGGGTTGTATTGCCATTCCTATTCTCATGTTACCATTTCTTTAAAAATGACCTCAGTAGTAACCAAGCTGTTATATTGTGTATCTGGAGCAGATGGTCAAGTACAGGGGCACCTGGGTTGCTGGCACTGCTGCATCTATGTTAGTAACATCTGGTTCAAAGCTGAGCCACCTCAGAATCTACAGGTTTCTCTGAGTTCTGGGCATAATTGAGAACCAGCCAGTTTGTCAAGAGATCCCATTCAACTGTCAATATGATGGGGCAAGCAGGTAAGACAAATTTTAATTTTTGTGTGTGTTTGTGCCCTACTGAACTTGGGTTTCACATATGCTAGGCAAGTGTTCTACCACTGAGCTACACATCCAGCCACCAATTTAAAACGTTTCAAACTTTAAAATGTCCACAGAAGGACTAGGGATGTAGCTGACACTGAAAAAAAAAAAAAAAGCAAATAAAAACAAAACAACAACAACAAAACTGTCTAAAGTCATATTTATAGTTAGTCGAAATAACATAACTTTACATGTACTATCTCATTTAGTCCTCTTACCAAACCCATGGGTAGTTACTAGTATTATCCCTATTTTACAAATAAGATCACAGAATTCAAAGCACTTGCCCAACCAGAAAGTGGCAGACCCAAGATTGGAATCCACTTCTGTTTGATTCCAGAATCTTCATCCATGTGATAATACATCTAATTTGTGATTTTGAATTTTCTATAGGTATTTCTGCTGTTATAAGTAGTGTGTCTCTGTTTTTTTTTTTTTTTTAGTCTTTGATCTAAATATTTTTCAAGAACAGTCTTTTAATTTTTAAATTAGCTTGGTTCCCCAAAGATAAACTCTTTAAAGGTCAGATGTTAACTTAATCCTCTTTGGGTTATCGTTGAAAAAGATCAGCAGAATTGACCTTGACGAAGCCGCCTCGGAGGCTTGGCACGGACGGTCTCTTCCATATCAGTGAACACAGACAACTGCTGCTATGGGAAGGGGCATTTTGTATGCTTTTGATAGCAGGCAAATTTGTTTTTTGTTTTTTTTTTTTTTTGACAAGACCCAGAGTATAAAGACTTAATATCCATCTTCAATGTGAATCGAATCGTGCCCTACTAACACTAGATCCTCAGCCCTAGGGAACACCGGGCTGGCAGCCTGGGGGCTGCATTAGGCCGGCTCAATGACCAGGAGAAGAAACAGAGCGTGACAGGCGCAGGATCACGTCGCCAGAAAGCGGGTGGGGACACGGAGCGCAAGGATTGCTAGTCTATTTAGTAAATGTATTTGAGAAATATTTTAACTATTTTCTAATCCTTTTACCTGTATCCTTCCTCATACCATTCAATGTCCACGGGAACTTTTTACATGCCCTCCCTTTAGGGGACCGTATGCCTAGAAGAAAGAAGGAAATTATTGGTGTTTGAATTCAAAGGTAAATTTGAAATCTATTGAAATAGCAGATTCAATTGACTTTCACATGAAAGAGCTAGGCACTTCAAGGTAGATATTCTTAAATTCTAAAAGCTTGTTTCTGTTTTCTGGGGGTTGCAGGATAACCAGGAATTGAATCCAGGGATGTTTACCTACATCCCCAGCCCTTCATTTATTGATTTATTTTAATTTTGAAACAAGGTCTTATTAAGTTGCTCAGGGCCTAAGTTGCCCAGGCTGGTCTCCAACTTGAGATCCTCCTGCCTCAGCCTCCTGAGTCACTGGGATGACAGTGATGTGCACCCACCTAAAAGTTTGTTTCTAAACGCTAAGAGTCAAAGACAAAAAGACCTAAAAGTCTAAAGTTAATACTACAAGCCAAGTGTCAGCAAACGGCAAGTGTAAAGTTTTTTGTAAATAAGGTTTTATTTGGTTTATTTTGGTTAAGCGTGGTCTATGGCTGCTCTCAGAACAGCGGAGTTGAGTTGTTGGAACAGAAAATGGTCTACAAAGTCTAATATATTTGCTATTTGACCTTTTCCGAAAGTTTCCTGACCCTTGCATAAACCATAGAGAAGAGGAAGAAGATAAGGAAGGAGATGGTCTCTCCCTGAAAAGGGGATAAGGGTTTTGCCTATAGTGGAAAGTGACTAGAGTCCAGAGCCTTCAGGGCCCTGAAGAACAGGAACAGAGTCAACCATCCTTAGCTGAGTCCAAAAAAGGGAATAGGAAATAGAAACTACATATCAACTAGGAGGGAATAAAGAGAGCAGGAAAATCTTTTATTAACAGAGGATCTGAGGGTAACTTCAATGCTTAGTGGTCTGTTGGAGTATCCAGAAGTTTCCGTTGTTCTCTACAAAGGGAGGCAACTGAGAAGGCTGGCAGACTAGATGATGTCTCTCAGTTATGACAATACCATTAACAAATGGGCTGGAACATACATGTGGGCAACTCCAGCTGGACCAAGGAATCAGATGGGACCAAGCCAATAGCTAAATGCCAAAGACAGAGATGTCACGTGGTCCACCCTCAATGCCAGGATAATTCTCAGAGCACATATTTCTCCCTTAAAACTTAGATAACCCCTAGAGAAGAGGAAACAGAAGATAAGATCTTTGACTAAGTGGTTTCCAAAGGGTGTTCAGTGGACTCTTGGAGAGTTTATATTAAGACAATGATACTGAGGAGCATAGTCTAGCAGAATTTTCTGCTATAATGAAACATTCTCTATCTGTACTGTCCAATATGGTTGTTACTAGCCCCATATGGCTATCAAACACTTTTTAAGTTAGCTAGTACAACTGAAAAGTTGAATTTTTGTTTTTTATTTTTTTCCACATTTTTTATTGGTGCATTATAGTTATACATTTTGATGGGATTTGTTGTTACATATTCATACATGCACACAATATAACAATATAATTTGGCCAATATCAAAACATTGAATTTTTAAATTCAACTGATGTCCATTAGTTCACATTATAATTTAAATAGCCACAGGGCTGAGGGTATAGCTCCATGATAGAGCATCTCCCTGGCATACATGAAGCCATGGGTTAAAAAAGAAGTAGAAAAATTGAAATAAACAGTCACAGACAGTATAGATCTAAGAGATCAGATTCTTTTCCAGGTACAGCATGTTCTAGCATCACTTCAAACTAAAAGGGGGTAACTGAAGAACTCTGGTTTAAGGGACAGTGAACATCTTGACCTGTTTTCTAGTCCCCCCAGCATTGTCTCTGGAGTGCTTGGAGTGTTCTGGCAGGTTCTCAGGCATAATACAGAACCCAACTGATGAAACAAAGTGCAAGTTGTTTGCCGTGACAATGCATCAAAAGCTTTTATTTTGATCCTCACCACCCATCTGGTACTGTTGTGGGAAGATGACAAGAGACATGAGATGAGGAAAAACATAGATCATAAAAAGAAAATCTGCTAGCTGCGGTGGTGCACACCTGTAATCCCAGTGGCTTGGGAGGCTGAGATAGGAGGATTGAGAGTTTAAAGCCAGCCTCAGCAATTTAGCAAGGCCCTAAGCAACTCAGTGAGACCCTGTCTCTAAATACAAAATAGGGCTGGGGATGTGGCTCAGTGGTTGAGTGCCCCTGAGTTCAACCCTTGGTTTAAAAAGAAAAAAAAAAAAAAGTTCCAAAAAAGAAATCCAAGGTAAGGAGCTGTAAGGTCGAGTGGAGGAGGGAGGAGGAGATTAAATGTGCCTGCCATGCGGCATCCTCAGTTGTGGGCTTTTCAGCCTGTCCAGATCCCCCTGAGCCTCCCTCTGCACTGGGCTGCCTCTGACCTGCCCTCATCTCTCTGTCCTCTTCCTTTGAGCCTGTAATTATGGACACCAGGTGCACTGCTTCCACTCCTCAGTGGTGACTATCATTCACAGACCTGTGAATGGCAAATTGCCAACCTTCATCCACATTTCTTTTTAAAAGCAGGATATGCTGGGTGTCATCACTTAGGAGCCTGAGACAATAACAGTGGAAATGGAATTTATCCAGGGAACAAAAGTAGCTTACTTTTCTTTAAAAGTACTTTTCTTTTTTTACTTTTCTGGATAACAGGTAGGATTGACTGCTGGGGGACCCCAGGCCTTGCCCAGGACTGGGGAGGGCCTTACTGCAGGGAACCAGGAGGCGGGTGCTCAGTAACAGTGGCGGGTGGAGTTGGGGGGTAGGCTTTTGCTCTGATGCCAGATTGAGATCTAGGCTGTAGCTTTTCTACTCAACAGGTTGTGAGTGGGACCCCAGAGTGCTTAGGATCCTGGATCCAAAGCCACAAAAGCATACTCTTGGGTTCAATTTCTGACTTTATCAGTTAATAATCTTGTACCCTCAGGTCACACACCCTATGCCCCAGTTTTTCATCTGAGTAATGGTGACGATGGTTACATGCCTGTGTTGTGGTGTTATTTTGTGGATTTAAATAAGATGCTGCTTGGGAGGCACTTGGCATAGGGCAAATGCACCATCAATGTCAACTGTGTGGCGATGCCAGTTGAGAGCCCTCCTTGGCCCTGAGTGAAGTGGCTGTGGAAGAGCAGCCACATCCCTCAAGGCCTGTTATGTTTCCTATCTTGAAGAAATTAGAGGTTTCCCAGATCTGGGGAGAATCCTCTGAGGAGGGGAGTCACCCCACCTGAAAGGCGGTAGGAAGGCCCCTGCGGGAGCCTCTCTCCAGCCCCAGCTAATCACGAGCCTGGCTCTGTAGGGGCCAAGGACACCCAAGGAAACAAAACCTCTTGCTGTTCAGGAGGAACCTCAAGCCAGCCACTATGGTTTACAGCTTTGAGGAAATCAAAAGTGCCCAAAAGCACCCAATTAGAGATGAACTGAATCCTCAAATTTCAAGACTGACATCTGAGTTGTGTCCACGGAAGAATGGTATCAGCTGGCCTGTTGACAAGCTAAAGGATGGAGGACTGGAAAACTGAATTCACTTAAAGTTTCCTCAAGTGCTTGCTCCCAGGAAAAGGGTGCCAGATATGCACATCACATTAGCCAAGGCAGAGTGTTTCTCTGGCTCAGCACAGCCTGGAGGAAATTGTTAGAAACTAGGATGACAATGACAGCCCTATCAACATTTCCCTGGCCTCCTGGAGGTTTGCCAAAGCAACTGCACCACCTCGGGCTGGCTGTGCCTTTCCTGAACCCTTCCTTCTTGGTTCAGTTTAACTGGGTGGGACACAGGAACATGCCTGGGAGGCACTGAGGTGGGCTTTGTCTGCATCTCCATAGTAACAACAATCATTCACTGAGCTTCCTTTATAGAGAGGCCCCTGAGTTAAACTGCATGTTTAGCTCAGGGTGGAACTCACATGCCATGTACTG